AACTCCAAGATATCGTACGTTCCAACTATTCGAAATTCTGATAATATATATATATATATACTGAACATTGTATTATCGTAGAGACGAGAGATAAAAGGAGCATTAAACACACACATGATATCCGAGCGAAAAATAGCACAACATCGAAAAACAGAATTGGAGGAGGCGTGGATCGATATCGTTTTCGCTGGAAAATCCTTTTCGACGGTGTCGGATTCTCGCAAGGGTTGTTGCATGTAAAGGATTAGACGTGGCTACCGGATAATTGTAATGCAAAAACTGACGTGATTGATGACTGGTAGTTGCCTCGACAACCCACCACGAAGGTCGCCAAGCCCTCGATATCTCTGCTTCGAGTTTCGAATTCGAAGCTAGGATATCTTCGTTACACTCGTGATTCTTTCGCCTATTTTCGGCTTCCTTTTTTTAACAGAGAAGAGGAGAACGCGAGCAAAGGAAAATCGAGGACGTGGACTGACATTTGGGACACTCGAGGACCGTTTTTCCGTAAATAGAACGAAGAATATAAACTGGAAGCTCGAAATGGGAATTAAGCCAAAGTATGAGGAGACGTTAGCCACGAGAGACGAGTTCGAAAGCAAAGACAAGGAATTAAAGCGCAACGCGGCCCAATTTGTTAATATCATTCCCCACGGAGCTGAGTAATCGTGACTGTAACTAAGGGAACGAGAAGAGAGGATTTTCGATAAAATGGCTCTCTCTCTCTCTTTCTCTCTTAGCTATATAGACACGTCACAAGGGATTTCGATTGGCCTTCCACCGCGATCCCCCTCATCCGCCTATCTCCGCAACTTATTAAAAAAAACGAACGTGAACGCGTCGCGTATATCATAAATAACATGTTTAATTTGGACGTCGATTTTAATGAAAAGCATTGGTAACGAGGGATGACGTACAGGGAATGCTACCACTTTCAACGAATGCAATTAGTTCTACACTTTTTAAGTCCCGATGTTGCAATCTTTGTCTCGAAGATGTGTAAAAATTCACTTCGTTAATTTAATTATCTCTTTTCATCGAAATTAAATAGGATGTATCACTTTACAATTTTAGATAACGATTAAAGTGTTTGAATTTTAAAGTACATACTTAACGTTATTAATCTTACCTATAGATTTCATCACTACAATCACTTTCGATATACTTTGCATAGTTTTATATTTAAATGGAATAGAAAGAAGATTTTTCTTCTCGTTTATATCGGAACAGTTGTAAAAGTAATGCAACAAAAAAAAAAAACAGAAACATCGATCTCTCTATTCTTCCATTGTTTTCAAAACCTTTCAAATCGTTAGAAAAAAAAAAAAAGAAAAAGAAAAAAAAATCGTCGTTTTTGAAAAGGAAAACCTTTCTCGAGTGTTGCACTCGAGAAAGAAACTCGACGAAACGATATACATGCGGCGTATATCTGATTCGTGTATTTCGACGTTATTCAACGAAATCACCGGTCGCGTTTACTAAGCGGATGACTCGGTCACGAGTTCAAAGAGGGAGATTTAAAGTATTTCCGCGTTCAAGAGGCGGAGGAACGAACATTTCCACGTTCGGGATCCTTCTCGTAAGAATAGTTAATCGTATCGAATATTATCTGGAGTATTAGCGGAGTGCAAGGTGATGTCTCGATGACGTTAAAGGCTGAGAGTTAAAGGAAGGGAAAAGGAAGGCTCGCCCCAAGTGTGGATTCGCTAGTTACGATCGATACGCGCCGCTTTCTAGGTCAGGGTCCCGATACATACTCGCCACTCACCGCTACTCAGGGATACATGCTCAAAACGCGTCCCGCAAATTCATTTGAAACCAACCATCCGGCTTTTCCTCCGTTTTCCCACAGAGAATGCCGAAGAAGAGGCCGATGGTGTCGTCGTTGTCGTCCCTACTCCCCCTGCGCTGCTTTTTCCCCCTCTTCTGTTTCACTAACTCGGATGTATACCGAGGAAAATCGAGGGGAAGAACGGGATTGAACCAACGAGTGCTCACCGGGACAAGAAAAATATATGTAGCTGCTTTTCGCGTGGAAAAAAAAAAAAGATTTCCGCTTTTAGATAAATCGACCGGTAAAAGTGTGTACGTAGATGTGTGCACATGTCTTCCTTTGTATAGGCTCGCGTTCATCCGTATAAGTACGAGATGTGAAATATCGAATAGAAATTGCATATTGAACGTTTCCCACGCAATCGAGATTAATGACGTCCTTTCGCGGGCATGTTCTCGTGACGGGTGGGAAAAAAAAGAGAGGAGAAAACGCAGGATGGGAAGATATACATATATATATATAAGCGTGGATCGACAGATTTAAAAAAGAATTTGGAATAAAGTTATCGCTTAAATAATGGGAGGGCGCGATAACGGGTGTCTCGATTCTCGATTATCGTGTATCGTGTATTGTATGTCGAAGTTACACGTTATATAGAAATATAGGAAGAGAAAAGAAAGAGAAAGAAAGAAAGAAAGAAAGAAAGAAAGAAGAAAAGAAGAATCTGATTAGAACGATCTGATGGAGGAACGGTTCGTTCCATCCACGCGACACGGTTTAACTTACAACGGGGCCACTCGAGTGATCCACGTGAAAGAGTTGTCTAATTGATGATCGTCCTTTTCTTTCCATTCGCGCGTGACCTGACCTATTTATATAAGCGACTCCGGTACACGTACGTGCACGGGCCGAAAATCAATTTCAACGTCGAGATTATCGGGGTTACCTTCTGGATTAAGATTCCTATCGATCACGCCAACCGCGATCTTTCTCCCACCCTTCGAGCACCTCCCCAAGAAGGTCGGTTAACAAACGCTCGTCCAGACACTTGTACAAATTTCATCGACTGGCTCGCGGCCGAAAATGCACGCGATCCGTACTCCATCACGCGGTGTATAACGATTACGCTTGCCACGAGGGTAAAGAGAAAGAGAGAGAGAGAGAGTTTATTGATCAGTCGATCGGAATTTCGCGCGTGACGAATGCCGCGCTGTAAAGGAATTTACGATGTTCGTTTCACGAGACGTCGGGAACACGAGTCGCGGCTTATACGTCGATAAAACGAAATTGTCTTCGTCAGAAATCTCGAACGTTTGTGCGAGACATTTTCCTTCGAATGGGACGCGAATTCCCCCTCTAAGTTTCTAGGTCAATCGGCCATTCTAATCTCTAATATATTTGTACGCACCCTCTCAAATTTAAACGTCTAATTCCACGAAGAATAAACCACGAGTCTACGAGATCGCGCTACGTGGAATAAAAATGCTAATTATCGTTTTTTCCATCTCTTTTCTACGAAATGATTTCCGCGAAAAAACAATCCGATTCTTGGAAACGTGTATACGCCTTTTATCTCTCGTTATTGCACGTTCTGCGCCAGAAGAATTGACAGCGCGGGCCTTCCACCACGGCGCAATGAAAAATAGTATCTCGAATTGGATTTTTTTTTTTTTCCCTCGATGAGGCCACGCTCTATAAATACAAAAGGGACAGAGAGGGCCGGAGGAGAAACGAGCGCGCATTCTCATTTATTTACTCAGTTCATCGTCGAATCGTCGCATTAGCGTTTAATCTATCGTTCCGATCGCCAGTCGATAGACTAATAGTCGCGTATCTAGATGTCACAGTTGCTTCCTGTCTCAAGGTTTTTTTTGCCCGCTACCCCGATAATCTAAACCGTGGAAAGGAGAAGCACACACGTTCGTTCGATGTATCGAGCGGTGCCGCCTCGAAACTGTGAAAAAAAAAAAAAAAAAAAGAAAGAAAGAAAGAGAAGAAAAGAAAGAAGGATATGTCCGGTCGTAACTCGAGTCGTTCCACCGATTTCCATTGAAGGTATAAACGTGCAACGAATACAACGTACGCAGGCTCCAGGCAACAACGTGCACGACATTGAACTTCCAGCTCGTTATCGTCAAGTACTCGCAACGTTTAATTACTTGGTCCGACGCAACTGCACATACAGTCATCGGTCATGCAACAAACAAGTACAGCTAGACGAGCAACAACGCAAATGCTACGTGCTACATCACCCCTATTTCCGGCTTGTTTCCCAAATTGTTCAAAACCACGAGTCGCGTGTGGAAAGGAAGAACCGTACGCGGCTCAAACTTGTATATCAAATGTAGACGCCGTTGTTACGAGCCGGAGAAAAGAAAGAACGAGCGTCTGTATGTAGGTTAAACGAGTTACGACTCGTCCAAGGTTTTTCCAACTGCTTATTTCGGATTTAAATATATCTTCAATTGTAATTTTAAATTCTATAAAGCTCGATGATATTCAACCATACACCACCACGTTAATTAATCGATTAATCAACGAAGTTAGTTGGTTGGGAAATTGTCTCGCGACGCGAAACTATCCTTATTGCATTACGATTATACAATACACACTATTTTGAATTACTACGCGGGTATCTCTTATAACCGAGGAGATATTTCGCGATCGAATGGAATCATCCTCGATAAACGTCACCGGTCTGTGTCAAGAGTTGACCTCCCTCCCTATTGTATTATATATCGATAAAAAGAGGGAGGAGGAAAGACCGAGAGAACGGTGTATCCTAGAGATTCTCGCGAGCTTCATCGCGAGACTCTACATTTAAAAGCACTTTATCCGAATAGAGGTTTCCCAAGTTTCGCGGTTTCGTCTCGATTCTCCAGGATACGGATACGGTTACCGCAAAAAGAGCTAACTCCCGCCTACTTCACCAGCGCCGTCGTGCCAGAAAAATTAATCGTATCCTCTGCAAAGTTTGGAAAAGCAAAAAAGGTGGACAGATCGTTACAACGATAGATAATATAGATACTTGGCGAGAATTGATCGGAGCGGTCGAGAGCGTAGGGCGTCTAAAAGAAAAAGAAAGAGACAAAGAAAAGAGGGGGAGGGGGGAAAGAAAGGAAGGAACGAAAACTACGATAAAATATAACGACTACGAGCTAAGAGCGTGCTGTCAGCGCTAAGGCAAAGCGGCAAGCGAGAGTGATAGAGTGTGGAGTTGGTATACCGGCGCGGGACTGACCGTCGTGGAGCGGATCGATCGTGTGGATCATAAGCTGTAGCAAGCCGTGCCTGAACTTGGCGTGGCTCTCCCTGGAATGAGACGAGGAGCCACCGTGGGCTCCCTGCTCGCAGCCCTGTCCGGCCGTGCCACCGGCACCACTGCTGCTGCCACCTCTGCTGCTGCACCCGGCCTCTCCACCCGCCGGTATGCCGCTGCTTCCGCATGCACCCGACACGCCACCCACGCTCGTCTCGCTACTGTTCGTCGCGTTCGGATGCTGCTGGAACACACACGTCATTTCGTCTCTCAATACAACATCGATCTCTTCCTTTTATCCGCTTCTTACATTTTTTATTTTATTTTATTTTATTTTATTTTACGTTTTTTTTTTTTTTTTTTTATTCTTCATTTGAGTGAGCTCGTCGAAAAACTATTAACTCCTCGTCTATTTCAATGAATTTTCACAACGTGTGTCGTTAAGGACGATATTTTGAGCAACTTTTCTTTCGTCGTATGGATCAACGTTCGAACGAAATAAAATTTATAATTAGAAGAGATTATAATTAGATTTATAATTAGAAGCGTGAAAATTCGTGTCGAAGTTGATTTTTTAAAATTACTAGCAATTTTGTACCAAAGTAAGACGATTATTCTATCTTTCCGTCAAGAATGAAAATTTGGCACAAATATATATCCAAATTGACAAGCTCGATACGCACGTAATGTGAAAAATATTTTTACACGTATGATTCCGTATATAAGAAACAATTGTTCAAAATGTAGTAGTTTTTCTGTTCTTAACAACTGATTTTGAAATTTACCGAAATCGGCAAGGAGGTAGCTTTTCGTCAAGTTGTCCTCGATTCGTGTTAGCTTTTATTCTACTATTTCATTTCCGTACTCGTACCCCTTTTCTTTAATTACTTATTCGTCTGTTTTTCTTCTTCTTTTCCTTTCCTTCGCTGCTATTTATCTTCGTTCACTCGGTCACCGTCCGCTCTAACTCGATACACGGTAGATTTTTACGAGACCCACGTGTGAGAAAAGAAGAATCGTTGTCCAATAATACCTTCGATTCGACTAGGGATCGTTTCAAAGATCGATCAAGCGCTCTGCGAGTATCCTACCTACGCTTCGAGAAACACCCTCGTGGCTTCGATTTTTTACGACTCGAATGAATCGGGATAATGGCTACAGTCAACCAGACTTTGGGATCGATGACTTCACCAAGCAACCGAAGTACGTTTTTACTTCATACACGGCATTACACGTTATCAAAGCGATTGCGTGCTTCAAACTACCTCACGCTACCTTCTTATACGCTCGAAAAAACAGTCGGAACAACTGCTCGTTGATCTTTTACTACTAGTGGAAATCTTAATCGATGTTAACCGATGAATACGTTTAGTAAATTTAGGAAACATTTCCAAAAAAAAAAAATTATTACAAAATTCGATTTTCCATATTTTTAATTTTCCAATCACGGAAACAAAATAACGAAAAGCCTTTCTTGATTAATGATATTAATCATATTCGATAATAATATCTTAATTATGATTCATTATTATTATTATTAACAATAAACAAATCTCTCTTTCCGAGATAATTTTATTTAAAAATGAGCAAAAGGTGAGAAAAATTAGTTGCATTCAATTTTTTTTTTTTTTTCATCGGACGAAACAATTCTTTCACAGTCGTGTCATTCTGAGGCCGGAAATATATGCGCGATGCGAAGCTTATCTTTTTAATCATACATGTTTAATCATATCTGAGCGATCGTGTCAAGCATACCATATGGCTTACGTATTATTTATTTATTTTCTTTTTTTTTTCCATCTTTTTCCCTCGATTCTTCGAAAGGACGAGAAAGAATGGCGAGAAAGATGATCTCATCTACTATGCATGAAGCGTTAACGTACTCCCACGCCTCGGCTTCCTACTTTCAGGTCGCTTCCGGATAATCGTGCAACAGTGCTTTGGTCACGGATCACGAGTCTCGTGTGTATCGCTACTAGCCTGGATACATAAAGCCTGTCCTTTTGTTCGTTTAGATGCAGATGAATCAGGGTTGTAATGACGGCCTAACTTCACCCGTTCAACAATAAACCCGTTACGAATCAGTGAAACGCTGTTCATTAATCCATTCGATTATTTCATTCGATTATTCTCGACAACTTGGAGAAACGTTCTCGAAGCGATATTCCCCATCGAGTTTGACCAAAAGTTTCTTCTTCTTTTCTTCATCGTTTAACTTGAGCGAATAACAATTAATTATTATCGAGTGAATTTCTTCCTCGTTACTCGATGAAAAATAAGAATCTTCTATTTTTTTTCGTTTGGTATGGACGAGTATGGAAAGCGCACGAGTAAAGAAATCGAGCTCAAATAGAGATTCGTTCGATAAATTCCTCAAATATCACGATGCACGGTAACATCTGTTCTATGTGCGCGAATGTTGCGAAAACATTCAAATTTTGTACAAATATCCGCAATCCGGTTACGTTTAATCTATCTCAATGAAATATAATATTAATTTTGTCAAAAACATTTTTTTTGTGCTTTCAATGATGAATCAAAAAAAAAAAAAAAGTGACTTTGACGAATGAGATATAATTTTAACATTCTTTCCATTTGGCGAAATGTAAAATTCTACGAGTCGAGAGAAAAATAAAAATCATCCATTTCCCGTTTTCAATCGTTTACAATTATGCAATAATTCGTAACACCGAATTTCTTCTTCGCGCTACCCGAATTTATCAGCGCTCTATTTACGAACCGTATAATTGTATCGAGCTTGATGAAAAATAAAAATTTCTCATTCAATTTTCCCTCATTTAATATAACGGGCATTAATTAATAGCTTCAAATTACTTCATCACTTGACTCAACGAACCGTCTTTATTTGCGGATGATATATTCCATAAAAATAGATAGGGAGGAAGAGAGAGAAAGCGAGAGGGAAAGAGGCGGCCCTGAATAAACAAACGACCTGAAAATACGCGACACGTTGATGCGGTAAAAAGTAATTTCGCGCGGGTGAAAAATACCCAGAGGTGGACGGAACAGCGGCAATCGAGACAGGGGAGAGCAGGGATGAGAAGACCAGCTATGAAAAACTATGATTGCTATGAACTATCAAAATTTCGATGTACCTTGCATCCTTGTTATCCCTTGTCTTGTTTCGAATTTTCCCTCAAGATAATACTCTCTCTCTCTCTCTCTCTCTCTCTCTCTCTCTCTCTCTCTCTTTCACTCCATCGTTCCTCGCCCTCCACGACTAAACCAAACAACCCCTTATCGCAATATTACCTGTTACGTGGCGCACCACACCGAAATGTTTACGAATTCGTCGAGGATCCTGTTTTCCGCGCGCATACTCGCGACGTAGTTTGCACAGAAGCGACGAGACGAAGCGCGCACACTCCACACAGAACGAGATAATGATGCGGCGTAGCCGACGCATAAGCTGGATTGCTCGTAATTCCGCGACGTCGCACTGCATTCGCTTGTGTTTGCCAATTACGTTTCCACCCTATCCGGAGGAAATTATCGCGCCAGACCGACGGCTACCTTTTTCCCTCTCCCTTTTATTACGAGGCCTAGGTTTAATCGCCGCGAACCATCAGACGGATCGAAATAAATGGACGTCGAATAATTGGACGAGACGGATTGGTTTTACGAGGCCGGGGTTCGAGAAAATTGTTCGAAATGAACGATTACGCGTGGAGATGTCCTCTCAAATTTTAATGAGCGTTCGAGTCGGAAGATTCGCTTAGGCTGGTTCAGAAAGCTTAACGAGAAGCGAGAGCTCGAACTGAATTTTCTGAACGTATGAAAAGTTGAAAAATGAAAACTTGATCAACGATACTCTTTACACGATCTATCTGTTTCCGCCGTTTCGAATTCTCTTCTTCTCAATTTTCCGCGATATGTCGCGCGAACGTGTGCAAAAGAAATTGAAAAGTTCCATTTTAAATTATGTTTTGAAAGATGGATGGGGCGCTACGCGATGAGAGAATAATTCTTGTTATTCAACGTGTTTTCTGTCTGCATCGTGTGTTTTCTTTCGTGATGAAAGTCTTTTAAATTTTCTTGTTCCTCTTCGACGAACGACGACGAGCGTTTTTCGACGAATTTTCTCGAACAAGAAATAAGTCGCGTGTTCCTTTTTTTTCACTTCCTGTTTTCAACCGAATCGCGCAGATAGATGGAAATTCGAGTTGATAACGATTAGCCAAAGATGATTCGGAGATAAACGCAGACAGTTACGAGGTTGAAACTAGGAATGCCAGATCTCAGCATCAACTCGGGATACATCTTTGTACATACGTCTGTGTTCGTATTCATGTCTGTCGTATCACGTCGACGAGGTAATGAACTTTGTAATTAACGAGATGGACTGCGAGAATCACGCGTGTATCCCTTCATGAGGGTATCCGAGAATTAGGTTGAAATCATACTACTAAAATCATTTGAACGACGAATATATATATATATATTCTATATATTAAATAGAAATGATAGAAGAATATAACATCTGTTCCAATATTCCTTATCGGATTCAAATTATTATTGTTAAACACGAACAATCATCTTCGGAATCGAAAATAAAAAGTGTCGAAGAAGGGTTCTTCTTGATTCGTCGAAATTGCGATTTTTACTTTTCTTGTTAACCGGATATATTTTAACGAATAAAAATTTGTTTTCCACATTTTCTCTTTTCTCTTTAAGAAAAAAATGTTAAAATGTTTCTAAATGTTTCTTCGTTACGAAACGATAAAATATATATATCTGCGCGGAGTAAATTTGTTATCCAAGATTCGGGTAACAATGTATTTTTCATTAAAAAAAATCGTCTCATTTGAAAACCCTTGATTTGATCGTTGTTCCAGCAATTTTTAACGACGGTATTTGTGCTCCCGAAAGATGGGGCTCGTTTGTCGAAATCAATAATACAAAATTTACTCGTGGACGCGCACCGGTGGAATATTAAATCTTCTTTTCGAGGTGATCCTGAAGCTGGATAGAATCATTTGTCACGGATTCGCTTATATTTCATCGCGAAATATTTACGTCACCGGGTTTCGGAATCCGCAACACCCTTGGGTGCCCTCTTCTCCTTCGAGACGTGGTTAAACACCGCGTTTCAACGCGGCATGAATTGTAACTCATCCGGGAAATGAAACGGGTTAAATAAATCACGGGTTGTGGATGAGCCGGCCCGGCCCAGGAATTATGTATTCGATATCGAATACGAACGAGAACGATCGCGAAAGATTT